TTAGAGTGAGAGTGGGAGGGCTGACACTAGTAAATCGTGTCTTCCAGCTAGCTCTATTAGCAAGTGTCCTTTTCTGAAGGCAAGTAGCCAGTATAGCGGCAGCAAAAGCCTTATCTTCAGCTGTAATGGCTGTTCATGGATCTTCATAAAGCTGGTAGGAAGAGGAGCTCACATCGGAAACCCATGCTATAGCTGTCTCAAGCTGAGCATTTGAGTAATAAAAAATATTTAAATAAAATTAATATAGAGGTGTCGGTATGCAATGTTTCTCTACTGTAAAATAGGGCCAGCATATTTTTCACTTAATAGAGAGTTTGAGATATGATGTATTTGAGAAGGTAGGTGTAAAGTTTTTCATGTTTAGAGTGATGGTTTTATTGCTATTCTGTTGGTAACTTTTAATGACTTTTTCTTTCTTCGTAGTAGTTAAAAGTAATCTTGTTTTACCTTGTATCTGGAGTCAACACTGAACCTCACCAGTTGGGTACAGATACTGATGTATACAATTGCACTACACAATACATAATTACAATATTTCCAATATGGCTCATGGAATTGTTGAGGGAATGCTATTAATGCTTTGAAAATGTAGGTTTGGGGTGGTTTCTTAATGCAATGGTACAAAAATTGCTTCTTTCCAAAGGGAAGAAAAAAAAAGGGGGTAGGGGAACAATAAAGGAACAATGCAACTACTTTACCGTGGCTTTTTACTTCCCATAAAACACATTTTAATGTAGTACATTTCAATTATGATAATTGCCTTTTATTCATTCTATTCTAGGCAACGGTGTTTGTAACTGTGGAAACTGTGAGTGCTGGGAAGGATGGAATGGAAATGCTTGTGAAATCTGGCTGGGGAGAGAATACCCTTAATGCAGGATGTCAAAGACTGACGAGGTTTTTTTGCTTGTTTTTCTTTAGGCTGCTAGAACATTTAATTTCAGAAGTGCTCAGTGTGTGGGTGTGGGTGTGCATGTAAGCACACATACATGGTTTTAAGTACCTTAGAACACGTTTGAGGACCTGCTCCTTAAAGAAATGCATCAAAAAAACTAAAAAAGGGAGCAGGACAACCCCAGCTTTAGAGGGTGAAGTCATAAAATACTGGCCCTGTGGAACTCCTCCAGAGTTTTTTTTGTAAATTCAGTGGAACTGAGATTATATCTATAATGCTTGTTTCTTTAAGCAACCTTTGGAAAAAGTATAAGAAAGCCTTTTTTAACATTATTTACTTGGTCATCACCTCCCCTTATCAATCTTAACAATACCCCTGTAGAGGAGTAACACTAGTTGAATATTTGTCAAATAACTAGTTTGATTAATTTTATGGTGTTGGAAAAATACACTATTTGACCTTTTTTTCTTTCTAACAATCCTGATTATGCACCAGTTCATAAATTGAAAGAAGCTGTAAAGAAGCCTACAAAAACATTAGTGATTTTTTGTTTGGTCAAATAATTGTCTGAGATCCAATTACATGACAAACATAAACTGAAGACCCAAAATGTTTGAACAGACCCTTTTCCACAAAAAAACTTAGTTTCTATGGTTAATATGTCAGTAAGGTGGTTATCTAATCTACATACTACAATACTTTCAAGTACATAACCTATAGGAATATAAGGAAGGAAACTAATAAAGATATAAATGTATGATTGCCTATTCTGAATATGTATTCTGCAACTCATATGTACTTCTATCATACTGTTCTATGTAGGTACAGTTGCCTCTTAAAAGTAAAGTAAATGAAAATTTGTTGTATTGAAAATGAAAATATGTCACTTTCAGGATGAAAATTCTATCTACTATTCAAAATCACTGTTTAGAACAGATTACACTGTCACACATGGTATTCATTGAATTTAACTGCTTTTGTAGAAGTGGGAAGCCTGAAGGTCAACTGACTTGAAAAATCGTCTATGCTACGCAGCAGCTTGGTCTCAGCCAAAGACTTTTGGGCAATGTCAACAAAGTAACTAAAGTTTTAATACAGCAAATACAAACAAAGCAGTGGTATGAACAAAAATTTTATTTTTATTTTCCAATGGTGAAATGTTGCTCAGTGTGAAATTCACATTGAGTAATGAATGATGCACAACTATTGGGACTTCCCTAACTTATTTACATATGAGTCTCTTAATTTTTTGTACACGTAGATTTGGCAGCCCTTGAATTCTTTAGAGCAAAAAGAAGAAATATACATTTTAGTTTCAAAAATGTTTACATTTTGTGAAATCATGATTGAGTGAGAAAATTGATTAAATGGCTGAAAAATACTTCTTTTAGATACCAAACTCTAACACTGGCGTTTAGGTGCCAAGGTCCTAAGAAGAGGTACATGATTCAGAAATAATGGAACTATGTATCAACCAAAAAATGTATTTCCATTATTAATCTAGAAATTAGTTTTCTTTTAGAAAGGACAGTTTTGAAATAGGAAAATACAATGCTACAGAACATGTAACAGAATGCAAAATTTCAAATTTATTTAATTGCCTTATTATTGCCCCTTCCCATGTAGCTTGTTCTCTCACCCATTTTTTTTTAGTTAGCCTGTATTATTTCTTTCTAAAAATGAAACCTGTGAAACCCATGTTCTCAGGGAGCATAATCACCAAACATCCAATTTACATATAAGTTCTGCAGATAAATAATGAGACATACATCCTAAAGCTGTTAGCTGCTCTCTTATTAGATAACCAAAATATCAGGCAGAGTTCTAAAATATATTGATACAGTATAAAGCATCTTCAAAGTAAAATCATCTTGAAATTTTAGTTTATATTTTATACTTGTAACCCTTAAACTCCATGGAACTGAACAGAAATATTATCTTAAGTTTTAGCATATATGCATTTTGCCAACCCTGGTGTCTGGAGAGCACAGATTGTTGCTTTTATTTATATTTACGAATACAGTCGACCTGAATCGCCTTATAATCAGTGGGTTTTTTGCATATACATTCGTCTGCTGAATCAGAGTGGAAACAGTGAAGGATACAAATTTTTCCTTTATTTTCTTCCATCTGTATTTAGTACTGTAATAAGAAAATATCAGATAATCAAAACCCTTATCTGGTGTTAGTAGATGCTTTTGGCTTGTTCATGCCATCATTAGCAGATTTATATATATACTGTAGACCAGCTGTGGTATTTCAGGTACTCATTCATATATAAAAGAACAATTCTTTAGCTGGTTGCAGTATTGTATTTGATGCATTTTACTTTGTAAATTGCTTTAATTTTAAATTTATATACTTAAAGATTGTAAGGTAATTCTTATTTCTAGTTTGTTTGGGTTTTAAAAAAAAAACCAATCAACTCCAACATTTTGACTACTGGACCCATTACATAGCCACAGTATTTCAAAAAGTGTTATCCAAGTTGTTTTTTAAATTACATATGGAAAAAAAAATAGAATATCTACAACAGTTACTCTCCATGTTTCATTAAAATGCAATTATCAAACAAAATGGTGCTATTACTATAAACCATAAAGTATTAACTAAGACTACAAAAAATGTAATGTTCACATTAATTTTCTTCCAATTTTTATTTTATGTCTTATAACGTTGCTTGAGCATTTCCCCTGCTCTTCATGTTGAGGTAACTGGTGGTGTAACACCCAGCAGATCTGTTTTGTGGCTGATTTCCTCACTAAAAAAATGAGATTGGAAGAAATAAGATTATTATTCCACATATGTGAATATAATAGCTCTAATATCAAATTGTTATTTTACACCTCATTAAGTATGATGGGAATTCTAGATACGTCAACTGTAAAAGCAGGAAGAGGCATAAGGAAGTGAAACTTACTGCTTGATTCTTTGCAGCTAGTGACTGTAAAAACTTTCTCCCAGGCCTGTGACAAAAGGCAAAACCAAATTGGATAAATGGGGATTTTGTACTGATTAAATTAGTAAACCTTATGAAAAAAATACTATGTCCTTGCTTTCTTATGAGAGAAAGAACACAATCCAGAAGTGTGCTGAATGCTTCTATAATAGACTTGCAGGATAATACCTACTGTATATAACTTATCTGTAATATCAGCTATAAAACAGCTGTGGATTGATTTGCTTCTATAAATTATTAACCTGCTTGTGACCCTTTTTTTCAGTGGCCATACTCTCTTTTAGAAACATCCAGATGAACATTTAACATGTACCTGCTCTCCCTTTTCTGATGCTTTGCCCATTGCTTCTTAGCAGAATGACATCTCACTTTGTAGCTAAATGATACAGCTACGTGATACTGGGATGAAGAAAGCTCAGTTGAATATTTCTGTGACTAGGTAACAGAACAAAAATTTTATTACATCTTTAAAAATAAGTCATAACATTCGCATTAGTCATCACCAAAAAAAAACCCCTTTTATTAAACATTTTAGAATGCATTGCACAGAATATGAATTTATCTAAAGGGTCATTTAAAAGAAAGAGAACCTTCTCATTTAGTCTAATTTTACTTGCATTCCCATTTGAATGGAGCTGAATAATTTCTTCTTTATACCAATAAACAGAAGGATCAGCAAGACATACTTTTACTGCATGGACCAAACTGCCTGATTTCATACCTCATTGCTTAAACTAGTATTAAATCAAGACAAAAAGTTTCCCTACATATATATATAAAGCCAGAGTTCTTAATGTTGTGTCAGGTATATGCCATAGTCAAAGTGAATATCTTTACTTTATGGGGGTGAGAGGGTGGGGAGAGAGGAGAGAGGTTTAGCAAGAATCAACATGACTACACCAGTTAAAGTTTATGAAAATGACAATATATTAAAAAATCATTTGAGAATGGCTAAAACCCCCAACAAGTTAAGCAAAGGCTGTGTTATGTGAACCACAAAGCACTTAAAAGGAGCTAGAGCCCCTTCTATAGGCTCTATCATGTGAGCAATCTCATAAGGATTCTTGTGTATTTATAAAATTTTTGAAGTACAACAAAATGGTGCTTTGTTGAAATAGTTCATATCTACTTAAAACTGGATTTCTAAAACTGTGCAGGTGTGATTGATTTTGCCAAATAGAACTGTAGCTGAAATACAGATTTAAAAAAAAAGAAAAGGAAAGAGATAATGACCATATGCAGTGTTAACATATAAAATGGTAAGATGAGGTTAGATTGCTGTGCAAACAGTCTCTCAGAGATTAGAGAAAACCCAGAAGAATAAAATACAAAGCAAGCATGCAAAAGATCTGGAAGGCTGCAGATTCACAGGCAGCTGCACATGTAAGTACAAAACCCCCAGTCTATAAATACAAATTGATTCCATCAGGTTTACTATACAGTACTTTAGTAGTAACAGACAGTTGAAAACAGCTTTCACTTAAAAGCAAAATTAATTTTAGAGGGAAGAAAATGGTGAAGTCTCATTCTGGAGAACAGCAAGAGAGGTATTATATTAAGGAGCTAAAATTTTCTTTGGCATGGTAGAGGGGGAGAATTGAGTTTGCCAACCTATTTACATGAAGTTTCACCATCCTGTGGGCAGTGCAATGATGTTTTGCACAGTCTACTTTTTACATAAACTTTTTTGTTGGTTTCATATGTGCCTTCATATAAATGCTTTATTCATCATTTTGAATCTGTGTATACATCAAATAAGAATAAACAAACTGTACAATGCAAACTCTTTGCATATATGTATGTAAATTTAGTAGTACTGACCAACAGTTCTTTGACAGATACAACCTACAACATGCAGTTCATCCTTGCCATCCTCTTTCCACGCAACAGATGAGATGACAAAATAAAAGGGAAGAAAGAAAGCACAAAGACAACTTTTTATGTTTAAACAAAATGTAATAATAAAAAAAAACTAGGACATCTATTCATTGGATTAAACATACATGAGAATTTAGCCCATAGCAACAAAACCAGAAAACAATAATTTAAAAATTGCTGTATTTCCAGTATGCACTAACAACTTACAGAAATTAAATCTGGCCTTAAATACAGACTCCCAAAGTGATTCACAGATCATAGTTACTCAGGATCAAAAGGTTAGTGTTGAAAACAATACTTATATAGGATCAGGCCATGAACCAGAACTTCCTTGCTTCACTCAGCCAGTTTTCCAGCCCTGTCTCTCCTCAGGCTCTTACACTGGGGAGTAAAAAGACAGCTGGATGGGACATGAACTCGTGTATTCACTCCTCATGAATCAGGTGAGAGAGAATGTAGCCTTCAGCTGTATAGTATTATTTGAAATACAGTGAAGTGCTCCTCTTATAATTGTAGGAAGGCCTGGGGCCATCCCTGGGACCCAGCTGATAGTACAGCATCATGGCTGCTGCCTCTCATGAATCCTCCAGGTGCAGAGCAAGCCCCCAGCTCATCATGTGAGTTGCTTTGGTTTTGTTTTGTTTTCTCAGGGATGGTGCATAAATCCCACTGGACCAGATGGGATTAGAAGGGTACACCAAAGTTTTTAATAAAGTGGTGTTTTCCTCATGCACACATATTTAGTGCTAGCAGACAAGGGCACAGTCTAAGTCAAAGTTTCTTTGCATTTTTATCACAGTTTTAGATTAGGTTTGTTTTTTTTTCCCCCCCCTACATGGATAGAGGGCTTCATGCTTAACTCATTCCCTCCCTAGAAAGACCCAACATCAAGTATTAGCTTGCTGTTCTCATAGCACATATACAAAAGGAAGTCTGGCCTACAGAAAAAAAAAAGTTTATCTAGAATTTAGCGGCTTTACAGTAGCCTCCTTGAACAGTGCACTAAATGTTTCTTATAAAAACAGAACACATTTTAAAATTAGTATGAAGAGTTCATTCAGACTGAATCAGTTGTTCAGCTGAGCAGACAGGGAGTTTGAAATAACCAGCAGCCTCTCTTAGGGACTTCAGCACAAAGACGTGGTAAAACAAATTGCCAGAAATACAGAGCTAAAAAAGGAATGGATGGTTTCCTCCTTTTTTGTCTTTAAATATCAAGGTAACAGCAAGAGGCCACACAGTTTTCCAGACTGAGATACAGTATGATCTCTGCTGCCATCTCTGAGAAATAAATTCCATCTTAAGCATACAGAGAGTGATCATATTTTTAATCTCCTGAAAGCCTGTGACTAAGCATGCAAAAACTTCAGTGGCATCTCTGTGGCATTCTCTAATTCTTCCCCCCCCACGCCCACCTCACCCCACAACATTGGCTTAATTGTTCACAAGTGAGAAACTCAAAGGGTTAATGTTGTTTCTGGTAATATGATCCAAGGCTTCAATTTTATAATGTTTTTCATTTCTTCTAGATTGATGTAGGAGAAAGTACAGTATATAGAGATCAAGGCAAGGCACCTTCAATCTAGCAAGTTGGTGGGCATGTTATCCTCAGAAGCTGGGTGGAGGTACATACCGGGATATCAGTGAAATACATAGGACTGGACTTTGCATGCTTAGCTAAAAATAAAAATAAAGTTTTGTAATATGTCCAGTTTTAAAATTTTTTTTTAAACACCAGAAATATTAAACTATAATTTGTAACTACCCTTTGCATTGGTGCTGCAAAAAAGAACACAACAACATCCTTGCCCATGCTTTGCTAAGTAGGTGTGGAATTCAGCCAAAAATAACAATGGCATTAAGTTCAGTTCCTTAAAAACAGGAAAGGATTATATTTGAAATGGATTTAGGTAGCACGATTCTGATTAGTCTTACTTTTTTTTTTTTTAATTGGTGGTGGTTGTTTTTCAAACAATGAAGATTTAGTAGATGAAAAATGAGCCTTAATTCAGGCCTACAAGGCCTACAAAATTCTTTGGACCCACTTTCCCAAAAGTGAGTGGGTCTTGCTCGCTGGGCAAGGCAAATGTTACCATTACCAGTAAGCCTGTGATATGTATAAAAGACACACACAAAAAGAAACTATAGGGGGATGCCAAACACATGTTTCATAAAACTCCCCGTTGGTTGTGTTTGACACTCTTCCCTCCACTATAATGCCAACCTCAGAAGCACAGTATCTTTTACTAAAGAGTATTCACATTTAATCAATATTGTAAGCCAGAGACAACGATCCTATTCTTTATAGATATAATTTGTAATAATAGATTTTTGAAGGCTTCCAATTCCCTGATTGCTTTCAAAACTAAGCCACCGGTAACACTTAAGTTATAGAGAAACACAATCCCTGCAAAAGGTCACAAACAGTGGAGCGAGCAGCCTTATAAAAAAGGGAAGAAGAGAAATTCATAATAGCACAGGTTTACAGCATCTAACTAGAAATTACTTGATTATTTGTGTGCTACAAAATAGAACTTAAACACATGGATTTTGCTGAAAGTGGACTCAAAAAGGGATTATGGGCAATTGTCAGCAGGCAAGGTATCAAGTGTACTTGTGAAGTATGTCATTCACATGAAGTGTCACAGTTACAGAAAAGATATTAAAAAGGCATTCCAATATCTGGTAGGGCATTCCATGGTCTGAGTTTAGCTGGTTCGTCCAGGTGTCTTCTTGTTTTGGGTAGAGCTACACGTTGAGATTTATCCACTTGCAACAACTCCGTTCAGAAACAGCAACAGGCAAGTCGGTGACTTGCTGCAAGCTGATCCACAGACACCACCGAGAGGAAGTCTGGCAAGGATAAATCACTCAACTGTACTCGAGATTCAGTAAGTCACAACACCTGTGAGGATCTGGCTATGTCGTCTTGCTCTTGTTAACTGGTTTGCCGCCATTCATTATTGCAGATGCACTTGTGCTTTTACTTGGAGTTACCCCAGCCTTTGGCACTGTTTCTCCAATATCATGCAAAGATGGTTCTCGATACATGGCAACTGAGGGGAGAGAAGAGAAAGGAAGAAGCACTTTTAAGAACGTATCACATGTAAGAGTTCATCTCAAATAATTATCTACTATAACTGATATTGTAGGATGTTCCTCTTGCATACCAGGGAAACTATTTATTTTGACAGACACTTGTTTTGCATCACTGATAGATATTCTTGACCCTCCAAAATTCTCACTTCTTCATCTCACTTAAAAACACAGTAAGAAACTACATGCTTCCTTGTTTGATGGACACTATAGATTTTTGGAAATTAAAAGCTACTCTTCTATCTTAGCATAAAGTGAACACACAAAAATGTAAATGTATATACACATATGTATATATATAGACCCCTTAAATAAACATGCAAGCTTTTAGAAGTAAAATATGATAAGACAGATTATATTTTAAAAATGGGATCATACAATACAGTTGTCTAGACTTGTGTTCTTTTTTAGTCATATTTGCAAGAGTAGGCTAGGATCCAGTTCTACGAAGTTATGTGTGCATCAGTCTCTCAAATCTAAGGAACTTGGCTATGATCTCTTCAGTTGTATCCTGAAGAAATATCCCGGAGATGTGGAGAGTACACAGGAGATTTGGGTTTTTTTCTTCCCTCCTTTCCAAAAACATATGCAGTAACCACTGATCTCCACTGAATGTAGAAGTGCAGAAAACTCCAGATGGAACTATTAACTGAATTCTTAGAGGAATTAAAAGTTTGCCCCAGGGCTTCAGTTCCTATCTAACCACTTCAAATCCTTTGAGAAAAATACATGTATTCAATTACACAGTTCCAGCATTAAGCTTCCTTAATGATTAATGCTCCTGGATAATTCAATTTCATTTTCCATGTCACTGAATCAGGTAATATTTCCACTTATACCTAACTTCAGTAGCATTTATTTATATCAGAGCAATGTTAAAAGAGATGTCAAAGCAGTCAAAGGAATTAATCATCACACTGACTTTGGGACTGGCTGTGTGTTGCCATAGAGAGCACAATCCCTTCATCCCTTGGCTAATTAGAGCAGGAGGCTGGAGCATCAAAGTGCTGACCTTGATCTTCAATGGTGTGAAGTTTCATAATAAATATGAAGGGCCCCATAGCATCATTAACGAATCAAATACTTGTTCTAACATTTCCAGTGACATAATCTACATCCTTTTATGGCTTCTAGAAGACTGAAATTAAATGTCTTCTTTAGAGTACATAAGGCTGGTTACGATCTATGTCTTCAGAGTGCCCCATAACAGTGTTTAGGGCACTTAGTTGATTAATTAGAAGATCTTGATGAAGTAACACTGTGACCTACACAACTATTAAATTGAACATGAGATGGAACTATAAAGTAAGGAATTTTATAGAAGAGCTGTCATATTTGATGATTCTTATAGGCAATGAAACAGGAGCCAGGCGTAAAAGAGTTAACTGAAATATCTTGGCCTGCTAAGAAACTACCAACATCTAAACAATCTGTGTTCGTTCTGTTCTGCCTAGTGGACTAAAACTTAAAAAAATGGTAGAAGAAGCATACAATAGGCCTAGAGGTAATAAATTAGGATGCAGTAAGATAAAGTAGACATTTGAATAGGAGAAACAGGCCTGGAGCCAAGGCTTTCTCCAAGCTTCAGTGAGCGGGTCAAGAACAATGGAAAAGTAGGAAGGTCAAGCTGAGGAAGATGAGATGAGACCCCAGACTCACGAGAGGAAGACCGGATCTCCCTCCAAGATTGAAGGCCAAGAGAAGCACCACCCCAAACCCCGCCTGAGCTCCACCTATACTCTGCCTGTTATTAATATGTATAGATAGCTGTTGTAATCACATGAATATGCATTTAGTCATATATGAAAATTGTATAAAAACTACTGATTTTGTGTGAGACCCTTGAGCAAGTTCTTTGTGGTGCGAACCCCGCTTGCTCCCAGCGCTGTCAATAAATACCTTTGCTGCTCAAAGATCTGAAAGTCTCTGAGCAGTTGTTTACATCAGATTTTTCAGATTCAGCAATATAAATCAAGTTATTTCTATGCATTGTCTAAGCTATTTTGATAGTCTGATAATCCAAATATTATTGAAAAAGAGTAACTTCTTTCCTAATCCATATTAGTTTGCATCTCTTTTAAAAATTCAATGGCTTTCCCTCTTAGCAATTTGTATTATTTAATATAAAGGAATCAAGATATAAAGTATTAATATTGTTGAGAGCTCATGGAACTACTGGAAGCTTCCACAAGACAAGGAAAGCAAGAAGATATCAATCTGATGTCTTTGATGTCTTTGACTTCAAAAATGAAGTCAAAACTTAGATTATTCTGATTCTTTCTTTATGATGAAACTAAAATATTTAACAAACTGATCATCTAATCAAAAATTTACTCAGACACGTTTTCAGATGTTAAGTGATGAGATAGCTTTCAGAATGACTGAGGCTATATGCGGCAATAAGAACAGTAAAATTTGGAGTGCCATCAGGACAAGAAATGAAAGACAGCATAGGTTTATAGAGGCTTGCAGAATGCATAGGATAAGACAAAAGTTCCAAGATATAAATGGATGCATTTTTCAGAGCATGTGTGACATCATTTAAGTGTGTAAGATTACTGTGACTGTTATTTGCTTCTATCTTGGTTTAAAGGCCAACTTACAAAAGTTATGTACGTTACACCAACTGGCAAAGTAACACAGCATGATTTATTTCATAGAGACCTTCGTGTTTTGTATTAGAAAGCTTTTACTTTGAAATGCTGACATTTCATCCATTCCCTATATAACTCCCGATTATCCTACAATATCCATTATTTCATTCTGCCTAATAAAAGGACTATTTTCTCAATGCAAGACTCACAACAGCTTTTGTCCCTACCAACAGAATATTTTAAAAGCAGCACAATGCACTTCCACAAAAGAGTTCTTTTCTTATAGAATGACCTCTTAATCCCTGGAAAAATGTTTTTACATATGCCCTTTCTATCATCCCTATGCTGAAGCACAAAACTGCTTCATGAATCTTTAGGACTGTTATTAGTAATGGCCCCTGTGCAAGGCACACACATTCAGAAAGGGCATTTTAGAAACCATTCCCATTTCTCGTGAGATTTATAGGAAGGTCTACCAGCAATGGACTGAGCCTCACCTTCCAATGGCTTGGGTAGAAAATGAGCTGCTGGTTTTGTTTTCTTCACTCTATTTCCTTTCATGACCTGCCCTTCTTTGTTCAGCCCCAAGAACCAGGCCCTCCCGGACTCCTGTTGTCTGTAGAGCATGGATGAGTAGATTACATAATAATTTTCAAAAACGGACTCCTTGAATTTGCACTCTGGTGTAAAAAGTTCCTGTGGGAGGAAAAGTAAATGTTAAATGGTATCTCTAAAGTGCGGCTTCTGTTTAGTTAATTTACAAATACCTCTTGATAAGTTTAATATATGACTTATAATAAGGTTCTGCTTCGAGAACAGGAGTTCTGTCTTCCTCTGGAAGACCTTCAGGTGAACTTCCCATGGATGCCTCAGTTTTCCCATCTGTGCAAGAGGGATAGTACATTTTCAAAGTAGAAAGGAAGCTATACAGACATTAAAAAATGTTTAAAATACATGAATAATTATTATTGTGCTTATTTTTTCAGACAGGATATCCTTATTAAGAAAGTCTATGCTGAAATAGCATTAATGAGATGTCAGTTGTTCTAACATAATGAATGCAGCAAACTTCCTCTGGTTTACAACAACTAATATTTGAAGCTCAAAATGCTGCTACTAATGTATTAAGATATATATCATACCCTGGAATCCACATGGCCCGAAACACCACAGGAAAATGCTATTTTGATGTACAAATTCCTGGACAAAGAAAAATAATTCTCACTGACATTCTCAGCATTCATTCCAAAAGTGGAATATTTTTCGGAAGTCGCATTCAGTAATAGCAGTTGTCCAAAAACTCTCTCTATAGGTTAATCTAAACACAAACTTCTGCAGACCAGTAGCAAAATAATAATTTAAACATAGATATATATTTTAATAACATATGTAACTGACAAAATAAATGGTGTGAGATAAAGATTACCAAAATTCTTTGAAAAAACCAGCAAGTTAATAAGCAAATAAAAATACATTTAAAAATATCACAAGAAAATAAGATTCTGTATGATGTGATTTTCTGTCTGTGGACCCATCTGCTGAAGCCTGTAGAAGAAATAAGACATAAAAGGAGGAGGTAGATGTGGAAAAGAGGGAAAAGCTTAACTTACCTTGCTAAGCTTTCAGAGAGCAAAGTTCTCAACCCTGAATACTCTTTTTATATTTCTTTTGGTTATCTTTCCCAAGTAGTAAAAAAAATCTGAAAACATCATATCTTTTCACTTCTCCATTCACAGTATTTTTTATTCATTTCTTTTTTTCCTGGCCCCACGCAGTACTGAGTAAACACCCAGCAGGCAACATGTTTTCAAGGTCTCTATGCCATCCCCAGCTGCCTATATATTGTAAGAATTTCACAGCTCTTTCTGTCACAGATTTACTTTCTGGAAATCAAAGTCCTTAAAGACGTAGTTCCCCATACCAAAAAGCACAGATGAAAGACTTTTCTGAATCTGCAATAAATGTCACTTAGTGCACAACCAAGTTCTTCTATATGATGGGGTACATAGTGTTCATATTACCATGGCTTAAGTTACCACCAGTAAGCAAAGCTGTTTTGATGAACACCAGGCATACTATTAGCATTTTCAGTTACGGAGCATCTTTGAACCTCAGATAAAAAGAATTAATGTATTTTATGCAGCAACAGACTAAAAGCAGTTGCTGTAGCATCTGGAAATGACTTGTGAGCCTGCCCTAAAATAGGTTGCTTTGGCTGTGTGAGCCAGTACACTTAGTGTCTATAGGTCACACTCATTCACAGGGTGCAAAAAAAATTCTCTGATATGTGCAACGGGCATCTTTTTGTACTACAACTTTTTTACCCCCTATGTGCACAATTGCATATATATATATATATATATATATATACACACACACACACATGTGCATAAATGCAAATACAGTTTGTAATAGAAGCACTGAATACTAATGACAGGAAACAACTTAAATGCACCTTCTCCTTTGCCATGGGGCTTTTTCTCTCTCTGTTCCAAGACTTTAAGACACCTGTCGTTTGTGTTACTCTCTTTTCTCCTCCAATGATTTCAAATCACAGTAGAGCTCAAGGCGACTGAAAATGAAACCAGAATGCAGGGTGGCATGCTAGAGGGAATGCCTGTTAAAACCTAGCACAAGCATTTACATGCGACTCGTGTTCCTCAGCTGTTGAAACAGCAGATGCTAATCAGGAAATGCCTACACAGCTCTCCTCATTACCTACTTCACTGAAAATGCTACCCCCTGTGTTCCCCATGAAGTTTTACTTCCTTGCAAAGCTCAATTACCATAAACACTACTCCTTAGCCAATACTCACATTTTTTTTTTTGCTATAAACAAAAGCTGTTTGTCATTCTACATTCCTCTGTACTAGAGACGGTTGGCTGCCTCTAAATGCTATTTGTGTGTTTTCCCCTAACAATATCCATTACCATACTTAAACAAGACTCTTTCAAGTCATATCCCTTCTCTGAATCAAACCCAACTCTTTCCTCTTTCACTTCTTTGGCATGTGTCATATGTTTCTGACAGTGCACAGCATATGAAATGGTAGGTATTTACCAGGTTAAAAAAAATGGATTATTTCTATACTATTACTTGTCTACTCCTGGACAAACTAGCATCATTAGTATTATGTAGTTATGAAAAGCACAGTAACAGTCTGATAATTTTTTTTCCCCTTTAAGGAACAGTCAAACCTGAATACTGTACTCTGCCTAAAAACACTGCAGCTATCCAACTCCAGACATCTGGGTCGTGTAACAGCTTTGGAGAGGGTTTGCTTTCATCCAGTATATTAGGATGCAATTCTGCTGGGTTAAAATCTCAGTCAAAAAGTCCCTTAAATATATGTTACTTTAAAGTAGAATAATAATTCTACTGATGTGAGGAGTATTCATGAATGAAAATTAGGCACCTGACAATTACTATACTGAACTGCAGCCATCAGCTCCTCTGAGGAAAGAGTTAGTCAAAAGGAGACTTTTGAAAGGTCCACCTTCCCCGGGGCTCAGGTGGAAATTGAATATTTCTAAGTTAAGAGTGATGCCTAAAGTCTTGCCTTAGACACCATCTCAGCTGGCTGAAAAGCTATAAGCGTCTATACTTTCTTCAGTAAAGTACCCATAACACCTAAGATATTGTTTGTGCAAACATCTAAGATATTATTTGTGCATGTTTGCATGTACCTAGACAAATCTAGATCTGTATCTCTAAGACTCAACCCAGTAAGAACTATCAGAAAATTACCAATGTGCTAAACAGCACCAACTTAAAAAAAATCATCCACAGGTGACTTTACTCAAATCCAATGCTGGAGGGAAAGGTAGGATAATGGTATTTTTTTAAGGGAAACTCAATGGTGCAGGCACTCCCCTAGGCTATCTCCCTATCTGTATCCAACCTGAAGGAATCCAATATGCGTCTGGCTGATATGGATAATTTAGATCTTGGGTTTGAACCCAGGACATTTTGTATTAGGAAGTGACATCACTTGCAAATAACAACTTGTGCTCAGGATTTCTCTTCCAAGGTCCATGCCCAGATTTAACCTGTAGTTTTATATAAAAAGTGGTTTTATCCTGTCAAAGCAACATTTGAAAAATGAAAAGTATACCAGCTGCCAATTTCCAAAACCTCAAGAATAGGTTTTGGCTGTGAACTGCAGTCTGATACAGCTTCCTGGGTCCTGGGGAAAGGAAGGATGTATGAAACTGCATCTTGCTGAGGAAGGATTTTCACTTGGATATTTTTGCTAGATTCTTATCAAGTTTTTGCTTGATGTGAGTCCTATGTGGAGATATTTTAAACCTTCTGGTTGCAGTAGCATTAATACATATCACAACACACAGATCATGGATTCAAACTTGTGGAATCAAAATTTCTGTTATTGTGGAGTTTTTAGTTTAGAGGCCCCCAGCAGTGTCACCAAATCTCAGCATTGTATTACTCCATAATGATAGGGGCTTTGCTCATGGAATCATGTGGTAGTGTCAGAATCTACTTTCACTTAAGAACAAAACCCCAAACAAATAAAATAAAAACCCACATTATCCATTTCTCACATCTGGGAGTGCCTGAACAACAGAGCTCAGGTTACCTGTGGTGTCAACATGAAGATATAAGAAATGTTGGAAAGTAATTCAGATGACAATTGAGATGAACTCCCTACCAAATAATGTCTTTCTGTCAATCAAAGGCTGAAGTCTGACATGATGAAGCTGGGCCTCAATGCCAATCAATAATATGGCACAGTAGCAAATGGCTAAATCAAAGTACAGGGGGTAGCACTGTATTTCTCAGTGCAGAAGGGGATAATGCTGCAGTAATCGAGGTGTGAAATGATGAGATCCCAGAAAACAGCTGCAGTGCAGTGGAAAGGCAAAAGGCCTTGTCATAAACATATTTGTGCAGCAAAATCTGTAAGATCTTGAGGCTTCTCCTGCACATGAGACCTGGAACACATCTAGATTGATATTTCTCTGACTTGCTGCACATTGAATTAGGTGAGTTAGACTACCTTTTTACAGTATACCTATTTGACACATGCCAGCGTAAGAAAAAAAATTACTAAAGATTTCCCAACCATAGTATCAAATTTTTCCAACATTTAAGCTGGACAAAAGTCTGCAGTTCAAAATGATCTTGTGCATTAGTTCCTCTTCAAATGGCAGAAAACACAGCAACACATAGTTATGTACCTTATGGATTAAGGAGAAATTTATAATATATTTCCTGTACGTTCAGAAGACATTTAGTGGATCTGGGCCTAAAAGCCCCCTAAAAACCCCATAATTTTTAAACATAAAAACAAGAACAAGCAAAGTTGGCAGAATTTTCTATGTGCAAACTGGCCACATAAGATACCAAGGAACATAGGACTTCAGCTACCACTACAGACTTTGTGGTCACTTTACTAACAAATCTTCAAAATATACAGCAGTACTAGCTGAATTTGGCAATCCTACAGATGCCCCATGAAAGCAGCAAATACTCAGAACCACTTTCACACACTTTGTGCCATCTTCTGATGGAAAATTTCCTTAATAGATTACAACAGTCAGAGAACACCATTATTGGCTCTTCTAAGCTGATGTTATTTCTGTCCTCTGGAAGATTACTAAACATGTGGACTTAAAAAGAAAATTAAAAAAAATAGGACTTGATATCAGGCAGGTAAAAACCAGGGATGACTCTT